ATATCTCTGTGGCTCAGGCACTGGCTGTGATCAGCTGCTGATGAAAAGGTGTGAAAACATTTGGAAAGGAGAAAGATTTGCTGTTTGAGACAACTTTTTCATAAGTAAGTAACACTCAGCAGTTAATGTGTAAAGGGGGAGTGGGTAGCCGGCATGCACAGTAGCCACCCTTTGGTGTGGTCACCACTGGTGTAGTCACACCCACTGTCTGGAAGGCAGCCAGCCCTCGATAGGACTCCATAGGATTACCACACAGGACACATGAGGAGCAATGAGCCATGAAAAGGTAGGGAACGTATCCAGCTTGTAAAGTACTCTGGAGTCAGATGATGGGGTTCAAATCCCAGCTCTGCAGGCTGAGCAGTCTCCTCAGCTCTTCAAGCCTGCATTTTCTCATCTGGAAAGTGAGAATGACAAGGATGGCCAGATGGGATAAGATGACTGATTACTTAGAAAGATGTCTGGCATATAGTATGTGCTCAATAAACATTACTATTTACTATGTATTATAGTATTATGTGTTATGTAATACAATTACTATTATGAGTCATCTTTGCATTCCCATTACCTAACACAGGGCCAGCAAGGCATATGATGTGCCGTTAACAAATGTGTCTTGATGCACTAACAAAGAGAGAGAAATGCAGGAAACAAGGTAGACACTGAAATGTGTAATATGTGAATCATCGTTAAAGATGCAGCTCAGCTCCAGCTAGTGTCAAAAACAAGGAAGCATTATTAGCAGATAAGGAAGCAGGGTCTTTGTGCTGTTCTATCATGAAAGATGGTGACGCTGTTAACTTAAAGGATGGTTGGGCTGAAGACAAGCTTGAGACTGTCATTCCATCTAAGCACCGAGGAAGGTTTGTGGTTCCCAGTTTAGAAAAGCAAGACATACTCAGTTCACACTTCCGTGTGAAAACCAAGGAAATAATGTTTTACTGGTAGGTGGTAATGGGAAAATAAACAAGGAAACCTAAGTTTAAGTAAACATATAATTGAAGATGATAAAAGGTATCTAAATATTGTTCCTGGTCATTGATCTCTAATATTTTCCTTTTACATTTGGTCCTAGATTCTAGTCTTTAGCTCTAATGTGGACAAAGAATAGGAAAGACTGAGAGAAACTCAAGTCAGTGTTTTGAGAAGGAAGCACAGAGAATGAAGGACAGTGGTTGGCCTCATGCTGGGGCACTGGAAGTGAGTGGAATTCGGTGAGAGAAATCGGTGAAGATTTTCAAGAAGAGATGAGGAAAGCTGAAAAGAGATGTTTTCATCCCTCCCACCTCATCATGCCACCAACTGGGCTCCTTGCCTTCACTCACACCTTGACTCAGTCTCCCTCCTTTCTTTGTCTCATTTCTAGGCTACCAGTGAAGCTGAAGACCTTCCCACCTGAAACTTCCATGCTGCCCTCCTTAGTACCTTTGACTTCCTTCATGGCTACTATCCCAATCAGTCACACCAGTCCTCAGTTCTGGATCTTCCTCTACCCTTGTCTTCCATCTTCCCTAATAATTGCCCCTGGCCCTCAGAATACAGACAAAACATGAAGCTGAGTGGTGCTAAGTTGGATTCATTTCATTTTCATGCAATTCATCTCAACCACAGGACTGTAAGCTCTCTGAAGACCAGTACCATGTCCTGATGACTCCTGTATACTGAGCATCTAGCACAGTGCCTGGAAAACAGCAGGCTCAATATGTTCTCTTTGTGCCTTATTGAAGCTGGCTTTTCCTTCTGTTTGGTAATGCTTTGATCACCTCTTGTGGATCCCTTCCCAGTACTCCTCAGTAATCTACTCTTTCCCTCACTCTCTCTTCTCTTTTTTACGTCCTTCCTCCCTCTATTCCTCTCTTTCTTTCTAAAATGCACTCAAAGGAAAAGTTCATATTATCCATTTCATACAAACCTGACGTATCTCTTCTTTCCTCTTCATGCTATATTTATCCCATATACCAATTCTAAATAGTTTTTCCCCCTTTAAATTTTTGTCTTGGATTCTCACCCTTCTTCACTGTGTTCACAGTCATCATAACTGAAATGACTCCCCTATTTTCTTCCTGTCTGGGATCAGTCTCTTCTCCTTTTACTTCATCCTTTAATATGCCACCAAAATAACTTCTTTTATAGAAGGCTTTTATTATTTCAGTCTCCTATTCAAGAACCTAAAGTTGTTTTTCTATTTCATTCAACATGTTTAAGCTCTACTAGGAGGCTGGAAAGTGGCTCTGCAAACCAATTCTTCCAAACAGAACTGTTTATGAAAAAGAAGGAAATGGAATAATGCAAATTGGAAGAAGCAAAATTAACTCAGGAACGTTGTTGTTTTGTTGTTTTAAGACAGGAAATGTGTGCATGTTGAAGACAGAGGGAACTGACAATGCATGTTAAAGCAAGATACTGAAAAAAATAAATGTGGTCATTAATGAAGATTTCTCTAAAACAATGTAGAAGGAAGGGAGGGAGTTTAGTTTTGAAATTTCAGTATTCCCAGTGAAGTAGTAAGCAAGGCCATCTGCCAATAATGAGCTGAGAAGAGATGAGGACTTTAGAAGGGCTGAGGGAGTTGGGATACTTGCTCATTCACTCACTCATTCATTCCACAGACGTATTGGCCACCTGCTGTTACATGTGAATGAACACTCCTAGGTATTTCCCCACTTTTCTCCCATGGCTTCAGCATCTGCTTACATAAGCCCAACCACAGAAACACAGACATATCCCCACTCAGTTCTGATCTCGTTTGGCTCATTGTTCTAGTCTGCTGGGATCTTCTTGAATCCCAACTCTGTCATCTGATGGCATCTCTTCCAACTTCATGTCATCCTCTGGGAATCTGACAAGTACATGTTCTATCTATTTATTACAAACATTGATAAAAATGTGAAGTTGGGTAGTGCTAAGACACACAGAATACCATGTGAAATCTCCCTCCCTATGTACACGGACTCTTTAACAAGCCCCATTTTGGTGATATTCTGTTGCCTAGGCTGTCTCTCTTCACCTCTTTCAATAGGAGAACATAAAACGATCTTGCCAACTGCTTTGCAAAAGTCCAAATACACCATGCCCACTTCATTTCCCTCATCAAGCTGGCAAATAAATGAATAATGCTGGCAAACGGAAGAATATCATTGGATCGGCAAGATTTGCTTTTAGCATGCCAATGCCAAATGGTCATGATTTCTCTTTCCAAGTGCTTATAAACAACTCCCTTAACTGACAGCTACACGCACTTACCTAGGACCAACAGCAATCTCACTGCTACACATCTTGGAATTTTTTTTTCTCTTTCTATAAAGCAGAATTATATATGTCTGTTTCTAAGCTCTGGCATCTTGATTCCCTTGATTCCGCAGAGACCATCTCCCTTAGTTTAGAGACCAAATTTGCAAATTTTCTGTGTCACTTAAAAAAAAAAATCATATCCTTTGATAAAACCCTATAGAGATGCATGAAACACTGGTGATATTTAGGATGTGTATGACACAGGCTGTGAAGTAGACCAGAGTAGAAGCCTCTGGAGACTACAGTCAATGTTAGGTTGTGTCTCTTTAGATGGATTTGGTATACTGCTGCCTGGACGTGTAAGTGTGGTTTTGCATAGTAATGACTTGAAGGTCTGTCAACCAGAGATTTCTGAAAAATTCGCTTCTAAGTAATTTTTCTTCTCTCCTTCTGCCCATATTGCTTATCCCTGCCATCAGCACCTTCAGAGTACTGAAGTGCAAAATCTACTAACAATTGAGATAGGACTTACCCACTTGCCCAAGCCTGGATAGTCATGTTCCGGATCAAACAGATGCTGATGCAACTGGAACTCTCGACTGAACTCTGCGGTGTCAGGGGTGTTTTCTAGACATCCATCATCTACTGCAAACAGCCAAAGGTTTTTGAGGAACAGCCAAGACATTTATCATTACTCTAAGAGTTAATTCACCAAAACAACTAGCATCCACAGGTCAGAATCTGTTCACAACAGCAGTAACTTAGAACACCAGAAGCCACCTTCCCTCTAGGATCCAGTTGGATAGGACTGCTCATCTCAAACTCCCACTCCTGTGCAGAGACTCACTGGCTGTTCACCAAACCCACTTCCCTTTCCTCCTCGGCACCTAGCTAGACGAATTTCCCAGCCTTGCTTTGCAATCACGTGGAGTCATTGCCTGAGTTGAGGCCAGTAGAATGTGGGCACAAGTGATGTATTCCATTCCCAGGCCTGGAAGTGAAATACATCACCGAAAAGCATAAAAACCTCTCATACCATGCTCCACTTCCCCTCATCCCCCATCCCCATCTCCTGGTCAGCCTGTTACATGTTGCCAGGGCAACTGTGGGTGTCAAGTGTAAACATGGCAGTCTGGGGTGCCGAACCATCCACCGCACCACAGCCTCACTCACCTCTGGCAGGGCTTCGCACGGGTGAAAAATAAACTTCTATTGCATTGAACCATAAAATTTTTTTGCCTGTTACGACAGCAAGTGTTTCCTTAAGTAACATACTTCTATTGCACATGACCCACTCTGTTTTCTCTTGAGCAAGTGGTTTAGAAAGTACTTTGGCTTCCTGGAGAAAGCCAAATCTCCACAACCTCCACACAGCACTTCATCCCTCGCTGTTGTGTTTTATTGTGATACTAACTTCAGCTTTGCATTCAGACAAGAACAGAGCTCACGGATCAAATCCCAGCTCCTAACATACAGATAGGCTTAGTTCCTTTGGAAAGTTAACCTGGTCTCTCCAAGTTCATTCATGGATTTGTGAGATGCAAATAATCAAATACTTACCTACAGGATTGCTGTGAGGAATAGAGATGATTACATTTAGAGCACCCGGCACATAACAGGCTTGCAATATGCTTTAGTTCCCTTCCCATCATCTCCCTTTAACTGACAGTTTATACTACGACTGCCCTTTGAAATCAAGCAAGTTTTCCATTCAGACCAAAGAAAGAAGCCTATGTCTTTCAGATGCTTTTTTTTTTTTTTGGGGGGGGGGGATTTTTAGTATTTTAATACAGTTCAAATCAGTGTGTCTGGCTCATTTCAGTTCCTTCACTGCCAAACCAGGGGGCAGGGACTGCTTCAGTTTCTCTGCCTTCTCTTTGTCAGTGATGACCAGGGTGTAAAGGTATCTGTTGCATTGAACTTTAAACTTCACATTGTCCTTATTTTTCTTGATCTTGACAGATGTGGCATCCTTTCATCGGGCTGCGAGCAGAAAGTCCTTGATTTCCTCAATTTTCCAAGGCATGGTGATGAGGCGCGCCGGGAGCTGGTGCGGACTGGGACCTGAGGTCCCCAGATTTCACCTGGCCGTAGATTGCCCCAGATTACCCTCCAGAGGCTGCTTTTATGTAAATTCTATCATTATTAGGCATGATGCTCTAAAAATGAGTCATTTTTCCCATGTCTAATATATTTTAGACAACAGCAATAAAAAGGGGGACAGAGGAGGGATTGTGAATTGTGTGCAGGGTTAGGAGGAGGAAGGAGGGTCTCATTTTAAAGATATAATGAGACATCAAGGCAGTGCTGAAAGAGGGTATTTACAATTAGCCAGGATGTCTAGCTCTTGACACTGTTCTTAAGCTGCTCTCAGCAGCTTTCAGCACACAGTCTCTCAGCTCTTAGCAGCGTGCAGCTAGTGTGGAAGTCATCAGCATTCTGAACAAACCCCTATCACCGCTCTCCACTTTTCCACGAGCTATTTATCTAACTTACACAATATATAGCAATTAACATGTAGGAAAATATACCAATTCAAGAGAGTTCAGGCAATCTGCATACGGCACCTTCATAACCTTTCATAATTGTTTCTGATGTACCTCCGAGTGGGCCCCCACTGAGATGCAGATAAAGCCTGCTCTGGGAACCGAACCGAAGGTGTCTCCGGGCCTGAAAATGTGCCTTAAATTCACATCCTATCTCTGAAGCTGAGATGGACTCTTTGAGCTCTGCTGCTCTATCCGGGGTGAGTGGGCCACGATTCAGAGGGGAGCATGGCATAAAAGAAGTCAAGGTTTTATTCTGGGATTGCTCAACTGTGCTCTGCTGTGTCACGATTCAAGCAATTCCTCACAAATAATGGCTAAATTTAGCAAGCGATTTCATTCTTGGAATGCAGATTGTGCAGAACAAAGAGTGAGGGAATATGTTAGTTTCATGGAAGGATGGCAAAGGAAATGGCAGACAACCTGTGACAAGAAAGTGTCTGGGTTTGGGATTTTGTCCAATTCTACTGGGCCAGCTTGCTCTCCTCTCAGAGCTCCTAAGTGCACAGACTAGAGCTTGATTCCACAGGTCTGTACGGTTTTGTGTTTTTCTTGTTTTTGTTTTCAGACAAGCTAGAACTACACTGTATGCTCTTTGAAGGCACTGTCTATGTCTTCCTTCCATAGGTGAAGAGATTAAGGCTCAACAAAGTGAAAGTGGCATACTACAGTCAACACTAGAGCTCAGATCTCTTGGTTCAAACTCTGGACCTCTTTCCATTCTCCTATAATATTCTCCAACTTCAGTGTGCACTAGAGCCATGAGGAGGACTGGTTACATACAACAAATTCCTGGGTCCCACCCCCAGAATTTTCTGATTCAATAGGCTGAATCAGAGTAGGGCCTGAGAAGTTGCATTTTTAGCAAGTTTCCAGGTGCTGCTGCTGGTGGTGGTGGTCCTGGGATTTAAGAACCACTGCACTATACCACATCCAATGGACTTCACAATGGAGACAGTTGCTTTCTAAACTCTGATCTAGTCTTTCTTCCTATCCATCCAAAACCCTACAAGCAAGTAAAAGGTGGCTGAAATGATTAGAGCCAGACAGTGATTCAGGTTTTCCTGCCTTCCTGGCCCAGCAGCCACACATTGGCTTGGTCACATCCAACTACTTTGGTTGTTCTGCCTCAAGGTGCAAGCTTTGTGCCCCATGGAATACAGAGCCCTCACCCGAAACGAAAGGAGGAGCATCTTTTTTTAAGACAGTCTCTTTAAGAGAGAGCCTGCATTGTGTTTAAGAAAAGGCGAGGTCAGACCAGTTATGGGCATCATAAGAAAACAAAGTCTGGGTGTGGTAGCTCACACCCATAATCCCAGGACCTCGGAGGGCCAAGGTGGGAGGATCGTCTGAGCTCTGGAGTTTGAGCTTAGCCTGGGCAACATGAGACCCCAACTCTACAAAAAATTTAAAAATTAGCTGGGCATGGTGGTGCACATCTGTTGTCACAGCTACTCGGGAGGCTGAGGCAGAGAATTACTATAATTGTGCCACTGCACCCCCACCTGGGCAACAAAGTAAGACCCTATCTCCAAAAAAAAAAAAAGAAGAAGAAGAAAAAGAGTTGAGTAGTTAATGTTATCATAATTTTCAGAGCAAGGCAGTATGTCCTGGTGGTTGAGTACACAGTCCTTAATCAGGTAGACTTGGGTTTGAGTCTTGGTTCAGCTACTTGTTAGCTGGATAACCTTCCGCAAGTTACTCTCGAAGCTTCTGTTTTCCTAATATAAAGTAGAAATAGTATTAGATTGGTGCAAAAGTCATTGCGGTTTTTCCCACTGAAAGCAATGGCAGAAACTGCAATTATTTTTGCACCAACCTGATAAATCCTAACTATTATTATTAGGCTTGCAGGAAAAGAATACTCTGGTGCTAGAAGCTAACACAAGCCCAAGGTAAGAGGTGCATTATTTACTAGCGGCAGCAAAGCTAATTATAATCAGGATGACATTTTTAAAGAGTCCTTACTCTGTGCTAGGTGCTGTGCTAAAATGCTTTACATGGATAATTTTATTTAATTGCCACAATGGCCTCCATTTTGCAAATAAGGAAATTGAGGTAGAAAGTGATTAATTAACTTAAGGTCACACAGGTTGACCTGGAGTTTGAATTTAGGTAGTCACAGTCCAGAGCCACTACTCTTAACCACCAAGGTCAGCTGCTCGAAGCCCGATGTAAGTGAAGCCCACTCACCATTCTCTTTGGCATTAGCGGGTAGCAAAGTGGGTGGGATGCGTGAACAATATGGAGAATTTCAACCTTCTTCCTTAACCAACTTCTTCCTGAACCTCTTCTCTCTCATGCTACCTCGTGGCCCCCAAATAAACAGGATTTTAGGATAGATGCTAACTCAGTGTTGACACATGACACTGTTAGAATGTTGACTGTCATGAAGAGTGAGGAAAACAAACAGGCATGGATAATCCACAAAATAACTAGTTCCAAAGACATTAAAAATCAGCAGAAGTTGTATCATGGAAAAGGAAAAAAAAATGTTCCCCCTTTTCATGAAAAGAGTAGCAAGCGCAGAAAAGTGCATCAATTCCCAAAGAAGGAGAGACACAGAAAGAAAGTAAAGCGTTAGCAGGGGAAAATCCTATGTCGGTGTGTCTGAACACAGAGCTCACACAAAAATTCTAGAATAAATTTCCCCTTCCCATCTACTTACAAATATGCATGGGCCCATCAGAATGGAAATAACAATTTCTGGGAATATTTGTAGCTGATGTTAGAATTTCTCATTTCCTTCCAAAGCCCCAACTTTCCGTGGAAACCCAAGGGCATGTCTGTTACCTGTTTTTCCAACAGGACAGGGATTTGGAGGGTCTGGGTACCCCTGATCCTCACTGAAGTCCTTGGGAATGTTGTCTCCAGTCAACTCTGCCACGATGTTGGGGATGTTGCCAAAAGGACCCAAATGCTGAAGTCCCTCATGAGCTCCACCTGCAAAGGAACCAGAAGTAGTTCGTTGCAGTGCAATTATATTAATTTCAACTAATATTTCTTCAGGCATATCAAACAGGAGAAGCCCTGTGCCTTCTGCTGCCGGGAGAGAAAAATAAATGAAATGGTTCTTGCCCTCTAGGGGTTTAGAAATGTAGTTGCAGAAACAGACGCATACTGTACACATATGATTTCCATACAAGGCAAATTGTATACTGTCCTGTAAAATAAATGTGAATACAGCATCACGAGAGCATGGGAGAGGGGCCAGGCATGGTGGCTCACGCCTGTAACTGCAGCACTTTGGGAAGCTGAGGCAGGCGAATCACCTGAGGTCGGGAGTGCACGACCAGCCTGGCCAACATAATGAAAGCCCGTCTCTACTAAAAAAAAAAAATTACAAAACTGGCAGGGCATGGTGGCAGGTGCCTGTAATCCCAGCTACTCAAGAGGCTGAGGCAGGAGAATCACTCGAACCCGAGAAGTGGAGGTTGCAGTGAGCCAAGATCATGCCACTGCACTCCAGCCTGAGCGACAGCAAAACTCTGTTTCAAGAAAAAAAGAGAGAGCGAGCGTGGGAAAGGGAGAGTTTCATTTGGCTGACGGGATGGGAGGGCTTCTTGGAAAAGCTGGAAATTGAGTGGCACCAACACAGGCAGGGCTCTGGAAGCTGGGCACGGAGCTTGGGCAGGACTTGGGGCGAGAAAGGAAGGCAAAAGCAGATATACAGGCTGAAAGCACATTATGAAAAAAGATAAAGTCACTGTTATCCTGCTATTTCAGCTCAGCCACTTAAAATTTGGTGTACTTACTCCAATTGTTGCTATGTGTCTTTTTATACAAAGGATATATTCATTTTTATTTAATATTGAAGCACAAGCATCTTTCCATTTGGCTGCATGGTCTCTATTCCTGTAATTATAAATGGCTATGTAGTTTTTAGTCCAACGGCTCTACTACAGCATATTAACCACTCCCCTATTGTGAGACAATTAGTGTTTCCCAATTCATTTTAGACATTTAATGTTTTCCATATTTTGGATTAATTTTCCTCAGGATAGATTCCCAGAAGTCAAATTACTGGGTCAAAGGCTATAAAACATCTTAACGACTTTTGATACTGTATTGCCAAACTGTTTTCCAAAAAGGAGGTACCAATTTATAAGCCATCACCAGCAAACTATGAAACACAACTTTTGCAACATTCTCACCAGCACTGGGTTTTATGAAAATCAATTTTTATATTTTCTTTGCTAATTCAAATGTTTTAAAATTACTGTGTTATTTTGAATGTCTTTGATTACCAGCTTGGTCAAATATCTTCCCATATGTTTACTAATTTTAATTTCTTTTATGTGAGCTGTTTGTTTATGCTCTTGGAATTTCAATGTTTTTCTTATCAATTTGTATGAACATTTTACATAATAAGATACAAGGCCTCTGGCTGTCGCCTTTTCTGCAAATATTTTCCCATGTTGTCTGACTTTGAATTCTGGTTACTATTATAGTATTTTGCTAACATACGTTTTTAATATTT